TTACTTGATTAAATATTGTCTATGCATGAGATGTGTGTAATTACATTCTAGGGATTAAGTGTAATCCGGGTTAGTTAAAAATTACAAAAGGAAATGGATTAAAAGTTGTGTATATGAAAATGTACATGAAATGTGATTAGTATATATTTAAACTGCTAGTTTTGGAATGATAATCAGCGATAAACGTCGTCTTCCAACAACAATGTATATGATACTCACCTAAGATGCAATGTTATGTCTGTAGACACGTGTTCGGTGTATGCCATTAGTCTATATCTCGTCATGACATGCCAACAACAATCATATAATATTGATGAAATAGTAGTGTCTGCGTTCTATACTTGTCATCCAAGTTGTTCTCGGTTACTCAGCACTTGTCTGATGTTAATAGTCATCAGTCACAATGTTTGGTGTTAGTTTAATGTTTCCTTCTGTAGTAATATAAGAATATACTCGTCTGTCAGTCTAGGCGTGCTATTAGTATATATAAACGATATACAAGTATCGTTAAGCTTGTGAGCATAGGCTTATTTCTTTGTTTAGCTTAGTGGCACTCATTATATTTATGGGAAATTTCACAGCAGAGGAGAGACATACGTGAAAATTTTCTACACGAATGTGCCTTCAAATATGTTACATGTTTTCAAGCCTTTCGAGATAAGAGTAATTATAGCCTTGAAATGGACAAACTTTAACATCCGTCACTTTACGTATATCACACATTGTTATGTAATATATTTTTGTTTGTATTTAGGGTTTGGAAGTAAATTGCAATTTGCACTTTTCTGTGACCGTACTGAGATAATTTGTAACTGAGAAATACAAGGGCAACGGAATTAATGTCCAATTTCTCTGATGAATGTAACCGTGGAATTGTCATTATGCTTCAGCCCTATCTTAAAAAACAAGTTTGGTTCTCTGTTGACGAAACATATTAGACTGGAAGCTTTCTTTAGTTATAAAGTATAGTACATTGTAGCTTGGTTTACTGTTGACGAAATAAACTTTTTGCGAGAAAGAAAAAAAAACATTTTAAAAAAATGCATTTCAGAATGCATGATGCATATCCACAGATGCATTTGAATGCAAACTCTTATTACCAGTGAATGTTAGTACAAACCACTAAGGATTGTGGGTAATCAATAACATGTTAACAATAACATAAATTCTATATTTTAGGACCTCCAATATTGGTACTCGTAATGAAGAAGGGGTGATGTGATATGATTGTATTGATAAGGAAGTTATATTTCATTTTATTTTATGTATTTTCTAGATTGGTATCATTCGACGAGTATACGGCAGGCAATTCAATCTGATTCCACAACTATTGTTTTCTAAAATATTATATTAAAAAGCGCCAGGTGGGCCTGCTATTGTGTTTTCATCGGTCAGTTGCTGGCTTCTGTATTCATAGCAGTTGCATATATAGCAAAAGTATGTCGACCTTGTAGCACATTGTCACAACGTGTCTTTTTTGTTGTCGTTTCGGGAACATCAAATTACCCTTAGCAGTCAATCATTTGCGTTAATTTATTTTTTACATGATATCATATCATTATGATAACCCGAGTAAAATTTTAAAGTTCAGATTATAACAACATACTTTTGAACTCTTAGCAGTAAATTTCTCAATTACTCTGGGTCTTTGACATTTACGCAATTTAATATCAACATCCATGAATAAGAAATTAGAGTTTGGCATGACAAATGTTTTTTTTATGATTTGTAGAATAGAAAAAATAAAAAGTAATCTTTTATGTGAACATTTTTGTCTTTCAAAGACCAATATATAATTCCAATTTGCTGAAATCAAACGTGGGAACATTTTCGTAATCTGTAAACATGTCGTTCTACAAAATATATGAAAACAAAACACTGCCGTCCTTATACAGATAAGGTTCATAAGCGTCCAACTTCTCTATCTTTTTTTGTCACTCGAAGTCGGTCATGTGATGAAAA